CAAATCAATTGTTTTTGGGTTTATTGGACCGCGATTTTGGTCGTGAGCTTCTGGGCCTTGTGTTAGTGGCTTTAGGGGCCGGGTCTACGATTTTGGCCGATACTTGAACGCAGGCCACACTCTGTCCGGTCGGGTCCGTCAAACTGTACTTCACTTTAATGGATATCTTAAACGACAAAAATTATTAATTATTAAATTTCATAAAAAGTATGTAAACCTCGACATACCGGTGGGTAAAAAGGCTTCACTTCAAAGGCAGCCTTAAATTGATAACTGTTTCCTTTCTTGAGAGGACAGTCGGGTATAATATTACCAGAACTGCAAGGATCAGCTCTTTGCTCCGGAAACGGCAGCTCTCGTCCTCTAATCACACCTTTGATTACTTCGGATAATTTGTTTGTGTTTAGAGCTATTGGGAGCGAAACAAAGCAAAACATTCATCATTTGTTTAATTACACGAATGAATAATTACTGTTATGTAATAATAATAGACTTACGGGAGATAAAGTCTGCCTCAACGGTGACATTGGTTCCCAGTTTGAGTACACATGGATTGCCAGAACAGGGAATTATACGAACATCTTTCACATTACCCGTCCCTGAAATCACATCAAAATATTCTCATTATTAGCCATTGTTTCGCTTAAATGTCTGTCATTTATATTTAATTTTTTCTTGTATTTTATGTAATAATATTATTTATGTTTAGATACAAGTATATTAAAAACATAATTTGTAAACGTTTACTATAATTATAAATTGTTTTATTTTTGGTCTGTATTCTATTATTTAGTTCACAATATAAAGTTCACTTTATAATATTAATTATAATATTAATTTATATTTATTTAAAAAATATTATAACGGTATTTAATTCATTGAAATAGAAATTTTTTACAAAAGCTAATCATAAGTTAAATATAGAAATTGATAATTGAAACAAAATTGTAATATAAGAGTCAGTCATCTAATGTGTCCATATTAGGGACCCCTCTATCCAATTGACCCACTGTTTATCAATACAATATATTTAAAATAGGATAACACTGGAAATACTCTCCATATTAAACATGGACTAAAATCTGAACACTTGGTCTGTTTGAGTACAGATCTAATTGAGTACAGAAGGAAATATAGCTCTGACCTCAAAATGCGGTGAACATCGCATATCAACCCCTGGGGACTACCGGTTCAATCAGGAGAGAGAAAGTTATCAAACTTTGTTTTAAATATATTTAATATTTGATTAACTTTTTCTTAAAGTGAAAGTATTATAAACACAGAAAAAACTCTTTAAATCGCATTTAAGGCTAGATTTATATAATAATATTTATTTATAACTATAATTTCATAGTTTATTACTTTCTAAAACTTGTATTAATTCATGCGATCAGATGATTGGAAACGTGTTTTACAAGTCATAAAAATTGATTATATTTTTAGTTATATTATCTAATTGTATACATAGTATATATTTTATGATTTTCAAATAATCAATTAACATATGATTTCCTCATTTAATTACTTCACTTATTAGTGAATATAAGCTTAATATAAACATGATTTACACAAAAGTGTCAATTTATGTAGATAAATAAGAGACAAAATAAGAGACAAATAGTAAAAAACAAATGCTTGAATACTTACCACAATCTGTAAAATTAACGGACTGTCCGGTCGAGTACTTTGCAAAAGTCAATAGTATAGCGAACACAATGAATGACATATTAAGTCTGATTTGAAGCAAATTTTTGGCCAAAATTTGAAAATTTATTTCACAATTGATTGCGTTTTGTGAGAGAAAAGCACTGAAAGAGTGATGAAAACGAAAGTTTTCAAAGACTAAGAATTCCAAAGAATTAGGTTGTCTTCACTTCTTATAACATAAAAGCAATGCATTTTGAAGGCGGGGTTTGGTATGACTTGAAGAAAGTTTTGAAACATATCTTAAAGCAAATTTTATTTATAATGTAAGTCGAGTCTCAATAAACTACACTAAACTGTGTATTGAAATCCTTATTAAACACTCCATTTTTCTGTACAATATTTTTTTAGAACAATCAGTAAATTGACTGTTTGTCGGTCTCTTCAGTACTTAATTAAACAACACATTAATTAAGTATTAATTTTGGACATAAGTTTCTTTGTTGGCCAATATTAAGTACTGTATGTCTCAAACAATTGCATAGACACTGTAATGATCAGTATTGGGTGCATTGGCTCTGTATTGTTGATGTGATTCTTGCATAATCCTCATCCTTGGGCCCAAAGGAATGCCTAATTTTTGCATTCGTTCTTCAGTAAGATATGGCAATTCAGTTATGCCTGAAAACAATGAGTTCATACATATATTAGATCTCATTTCATGTCCAAAGAGAACATAATTAAAAATCAATCTAAACTTAATTAAATACAATGCAAACAATTAAATACCTATTTTCTCTGATTCAAAATTTCGGGCGTATTTCTGATTTGAAAAACAAAAATAAAATACAAGTATTAGAAAAATGATTGCAAATATCGTATTGAATAATTGGTATTAAATTAAGATATATATGAATGGGAAACAAGTTCTGATGGATGTGTACCTCATAGCCTAGTTTCTTGAGGAATTGCCTCAACAATGGGGGTTCGTCTCCAAAAAATCTGTTTCAATACAAAAAACTCGTAAATATCTTTAATTCATGTAAAGACAAAAATGTTATGCTTATAATTGTTGAGAAAATATTATATATTTTTTGATTGATTGTCAACAATAGGGTATTAGTAAAGAAGGCCCTAAAGTATAACTATAAGCACAAGTGAATTGCTGTTAAATACATGTCCACTTGACCCCCACTTAAATGCCCTAATTTCCCATTTTCACCACATTTTGCATACTTTTTCAATTTCTCCACTTTATTAGGATTAATGATATGATGGTTAGGAGCAGTCACTCGACGCCCTGACGCGGAAATATGACCATTGCTTTGATGGTGAGCTCGAGAGCTGATCGCAAACGCATTGCTACTCAGGTTTTGCTTTATTGCCAACATTTGATCTCTGATTGCGTCCATCTCTTGTCGCAAATTATCCATTTCCTGCGACAGCGAGTGATTGTAACGCATTTCTGTCGACAATTGGGCGACACTTCGCGCTAATGTTATCACATGAGACTCGAGACGCTTTATTCTTCGCGAAGAGTGTCTAACAATTAAATGTTATTTCGTTTAATATTTTTTATACATCTTATTTCAATGAGAATGAACTGAATTATGAATCGATATGAACTTGTGTTTCACTAATTTCTACATTGTTTTAAACTTACGATTCTTCGGGTTTATTCTGTCTCTTCAATTCATATTTGTTTCGTCTGTAATACCCATCTCTGGTTCCTCTACTCGTTACAGAACTTCGTCCCGAAACCACTGAAGAGGCACTTCTGCACACTTTCCTTCTGTTTCGCTGACCAGCATCTGGTCTGACACGCGATCCCATCATACCTAAGATCTAAACAATACGCGATAGACATAGACTTAATATTTGCACTAATTTTATCAAAATATAGGTAACAAATAATTAAAATCCAAGTTTTTAAAAATTACAAATTAACAAAGAATTCAACTCTACTAAATATGGGGTTATTCTGTATTTTTAAAGAGTGGAAATTTGATAAATTTAATATAACAATGTAAATATTGCAATATTTAATAAAGGATTGGCATTCAATTATTTTTTATAGAGAATTCAGAAATAGACAAATAAAGATAAGTATTATTTTAATGATCTTCGACTGAAGATGGTTAAACTTTAGCAAAAATAATAGTTATAAGTTGCTACCATTATAAGTTATAAATTATCAGTTATAAGTTACTCTTATACATCATTCAAATATTACTGCAATTATAATAAAGACATTTTATATAAATAAATTTGTATATCATAGTATCTGTATATCATATGCATGTAAATCTGTAAATTTATATCTTTAAAATTTAGTCAAACAGATAACTATTAAATGTATTTCTACTGCATTGAAATATTTGTGATAATTTACTTATTTATATAACAATTTCAAAACATTTTAAAACTTAATTGATTTGATTTTAATAAAAAATTCAATTGAAATTTAATGATTGCAAAGAATGTTTTCCACCTGTGGTTCACTTCAATAATTACTTTAATAAGAATATTATTTAATATAAATTAAAAATAATGACTTAATTGTTGGGAAAAAGTTTTTGAAATGAAAGTTCATCCGTTTTGCCCTCAAATGACATTTAATTGAATTTATTTCACTTAATATATCAATAATTTTCATTCAAGTGTAACAATAATTACAGTGATATACGAATCAATCATCTCTTTTTTGAAGCCAATTATGAAATAAATAATAGTAAGACATAGACTACAAGTGCAACAAATGTCAATCACATTGAATTCATGTGCACTCAAGACATTTGCAATCCTATTAAGTCATTTACAACGAATAATAACGATCACAATTGACTATCACTTTCTATACATTGCATACTTTATCAACACTTCAATAAATATATTAGCAATTAAAATAAGAAGTTGTGAATAATTAGGAATTTCGTAATTTTGGACAATTATTTTCAATTATGGTAATCTTGTTTTGAAAAATAAATAACTTTTTATCTTGAGATTACATCTGTTTATATTATTTAATTAATAACTGTTTTGTTAAATCTATGCCTAAAGAGACTAATATATACCGATTGTTATAATCCTACTAAATGTTTATGACTTTAACTTATTTTTTAGTAAACAAAATATTTGTCTTCGTCTCATATAAAGCGTAAAACAAATAACATTAAGTGAAAAGAGATTTTTGAAGAGAATTATTGAAAGTCCGAAAGGAATAGTTTTTTGCATTGATTTAAAGATAAGTAGAACTAAGAAATCAATTTGAGAACTAAGCGATGGGGAGTCGAGAGTCAACACAACTATTGGATTACTCTTTATATGAATGAGAGAACAACTAATCAATTGAAAAGACATCAAGAAATTGCAATAAAAACTAAGCATTCCTTCAATTTATGATTTATTTATTTTGAATTCCTTTTGATTAATGTATTGTTTGAATCAAAAGAAGAGTGCTTTGAGAGAGAGAGAGAGAGAGAGAGAGAGAGAGAGAGACTTGAAAAATCACATAAAACAAAAGCTTTTTTGTTGTGAGACTTACCTCTGAATACATGTTTTCCAGACCTTGAAGTTGTTTTCTGATGTGAAAGACATTAGAATCGCCGCAAACACTAGTGTTGGCCGTGTATTCACTGGTCAAGTCGTCGGCGTAAATGCTGTCTCGAGCCGTTGTCGTCGATATAATATCACAATCAACTAAATTCATGAATCGCTCTTTGATTTTGTCATTTGGATGACTGGACCGGTGTTTGGCTCTGTTTGGCGGACAGTAATACTGGCGATCATTACTCCTGCGCTTCGGAGCACTCATGACGGGCGCAGTCTTTGTCAATCTCTGTCCCGGATATTTGTTTTTGTCGTTCAGAATATTCTGTTTATTACTCGGAATCACTTGTTTTTCGGTGGTTTTGTACTTTTCTCTCGAACCATAAGTCTTGGCACTGATATTCTTGTGTCCATTCAAGCCGTTTGTCGTACACTTAGTATCGGGTTTTAAATCACAGAATTTAGGAGCGGTTCCACTTTGAGGCGGCTTTGGTGTCGCCGGCGGTGTGGTTGACATCCAACTGTCGCTCTCGTTGACCACCGATAGCTGTGTTTTGAAAGTACGGCTCAAATCGTCGACTTCTACTTCACTTGACTGAACGGAATGGTTGTCCTCTAAAATCCTCTGCAATTCTCTCTGCATTTTCTCAATCGTCTCATTACTAGAGACGGTTTCGACGGCCGACGGCTCTTGATTTAGATTCTGGTTAACCCACGTTCTGGTCGTTACACCAGATGTGCTCTGATCTGAGTCTAAACTCGTCAGATCGAGAGGACTCGTTCCGTCCGGACTGTGGTTTTTAAGGCAGTTCTCGCGGTCTCTCATCGTTCCGCGTCCGGAGTCTGACGAAGACTTATAGTTGTGATCTTGAGATGTTGTACTTCCAGCACTTCCCTGATTATCACTGTTTGTATTTACATTTATTGGACTCAATGGACAGTCGGTTGGAAACGCGTTATAAGCACCGGAAGTCATATCAATGTTTGCACTGTTGGTCCCATTGGGTGACACTTCAGACCTAACGGTCAAAGAAGTGTTTCGGTTTGTATCACATTCAAGACCACTCACAACAACCACGTGATCATCAGCGACAGCACTCGACAAATCACAATTACTTTGAGTTCTTTGTCTTTCAATTAAATGATAAGTTGAAGAATTTGGTTGACTCGAAACCAAACCATTTATTAGTTGGTTATTAGCGTTTGTACTGTTAGTGTAGGAGTTTTGACATATGATATCCTTAGCCAACACTTTATCCAATGAATTGGCGGTCATATTGTGAGACAATTTCGGAGAATCAGTCAGTAGTGAAGTTTTGGTGACCGCCGAAGCCATTTGTGAAGTGAAAGATTGATTCATTGAACATTTGTTTTGCGCAAACCATTTGCTGCAGACGTCTCTCATATGAAAGGAATCGTTTTCATCGTCCAAACCATTGAAGGCATCAATTGGTTGACTATTGATAGCAGCCGTCGAAGAACTAGCGGTTGAATACATTATCGGAGCGTTTTGTAAATCTCTAGTGGTTTGCAGTGAATCTATGGTGTGGTTTGCGGGCAACACATCATTACTATTCATAAAATTCACTTTTAGTTTAGACGTGTCTTTTGTGGGTAAAAGTATTGCACGAATTCTCTGTTGAAAAGAGGCGCCGAAACCGCCCTCAGAGTTGCGGCTGTTTTGCTGTCGACTATTATTGGCAGCCGATGTCTGGCCCTC